GAGCTTATACGAGCTGAAGCAAACAATAGTGTTTTAAGCCTTGATTTGAATGAAGTTCCAGTTTTTACTGTTCAGGGAGCTTGTTCCTCAGGTTGGAAAAGATGCTACACTTTGCTTGGCTTTTGATTCACTGAGTAAACATGTCGCAGATGACCTGAGGGGTCGTAATGCTCCATAACATGCAAGTAAATCAGAGGTGTTGAGCCGTGGTTGACACCTTTTAATAGAACACGGTGACAAACAGAGGATTCGAGGAGCTTATATTTTCATCGTTGTTGGTTTGACTGTCAGCAGGATTGTGCACAACCTACTAAACTGATTTTCTTGAAACCTGGTGTGAGGATGGGATATATGAGCTGAGGAACAGATTTGATTGAAGAGGCAGATCAAGGATTTGTTTTCACTTTCTTTCACATTACAAGATTAAAATGTTGATGGATTTCTGGAGAAATGAAAACATCAGATGTGTGCAGAGTGCTACTATCTGGTGCAGTTTGATGTGGATCCGTGCAATGATCTGGTTGCATCTGATCTCTTTACATGCACATGCAGTATTGTGGTTGGAGGTATGTTCTCTCCGAGTGTCTAGTTGGTCTGCCAAAGAAGGCCTGGCACCATCTTATCTTTTAGACTGTATCCTGGACTGGTGTCTGTCCACTAGGTGCTGGTTTGATGAAGGTGCCATCTACAAAACACTGTGAAAACGCTTTCTGTCATAACGCACCCAAGATTTGGAACAAATTTCCACTACATATCAGAAATGCATCCTCAGTTGACATAAAAAAAAAACATATTTATTGTACTTTTAATATCGCTTGAACCTTTTTTGTTGTTGTGTTTGATTGTTTTTACATCTTTTACTGTTTTAATGTTTGTGTTATGTCATGGACCTTGCAGCATTGCACTGATTTCAGATTTTCTGCATGTTACAATCATAGTTACAATTTAAAAAATGTCACCCTCTGCTGGTGACAGCAACATCCAGCTAGTTTCTCAGCTGGGTAGCACTTGTCTTGTATCTCTGTCCAGACATCACTGTTACCTCCTGAAGCAGTCAGACACAGAGGAGCACAGAGGGAGAGACGCTATAATGGAGTGGAATAAAAATCCCCTCTTTTCCCCTTTAGTGTGAATTGCCACAAGGCCTGACCTTAAGTGCAACTCATCACTCGGTTAGCTACCCTGTCACAGTTAACCAGATCATCCTACATTAAAGAAAATGAGAAATGCAGCAATTATGGGAGAAAGGAAGAAAATGGGATCAAATTTAAAAGCCTTTTAGACATGGAGAAAAGCTCAGCTACTGAGGAATTTAACTGAAAGGGCTTTATATAATAGCCAATACATCTGGATAATAGCCAGCAATTCCTGAGCTTTCAAGCATTAATTGTTCATACATATGAGAATTTATTTACCGTGCCGGCAGACGAAGGAGGAGGTTGATGGGTGGTATGTTGTAATGACATCTTTACTCCAATGGATTGAAATGACATATTCTGATTTTAATATCACACATGAATTCATCAAAAATAATGAATCCTCTTATTCATACTTGTCCTCCAACCCTCATGTTTGAAGAATGTTTAGTAATGTTTTATCTCGTGTTGATGTTGTTTTATTGCTCTTTCTCACTGTGTGGGAGAGCTGGAAAAAAAGCTTTAAAGCAGAGTCAGGCCCCACAGCTGGTAATGTTTTTCACCGCTCCACTGTTTTTCATTGCACCAAAAAACAAATATGTAAAAGTTATTGCAAAACACATCACCCGGTCCTGTTCTGCTGTTGGAAAATACTACATGTTAAATATAGACTTTTTCAACAACAAAACAAGACTGCTGTTTATAACATTTTGATTGCACAGGGCCCTGTTTGTCGTGTACAAATCACTGACTATTTACATTGCTGGAAAATCAAGACACACATCTGATCTGAGATGTAACTCTTATGATAACTATGTAAATACAATCCAACACACTCATAAACACACTGATGTTTTCAGCTGTTAAAGTTACCTTAATCTGACAGGACGGTGTTTCCCGTCATGCTGACTCTGCCTCGTCTCTGCTCTCTTCTTATCAGCCGGGTCATTGACACTCAGAACACACACTCGAGCAAAACAAGTACACTGAGTCATTTCTAACACAAGGAATGAGAAATATGAGAAATCAAGAACATGCAATGAACCTGAACATGGATAGATGGTTCAATCATGCTGTCTTTAGTTTTTTAGCTTTGAATGGGCATCAGCTGCTGTTTTGACAACTCAGGTGCAGCAGAAAAAGCTATAGACACATTTAGGTATTGTATTACAAAGGTAACATAACAAACTTATTAGCAAATAGCTTCTTATTTACACATCCAGCAGACCTACAGTAACATTATCATTTATTTGTCATGTTTCACCTGATGAACACAGTCCAATAGTCTCTCCCCTATTTGCTCTGTTTTGGTCTCCACCAACTCCCAAGGGAAATACCAGTATCTGTCTCTGTGAAGTCTCCGCTATGTTTGTCAGCTAGTTGCTAAATTTGTTTATGTGTCGTTTGGTGCCGAGCAGGTAGAGTGCGGTGGGTTTATTGGGGCCATCTGCTGCTCCGGTAAGAGCGGTGAGAATAAATCAAACCAAAAAAGGTTGTAAAATGAAATCAATACGCTTTAAGACACTAAAACGCTCAGTTAAACTATGAGGGCGACCGGAGTCAGGTTATAAATTGAGTTGCATTACATCACACTCAGTCATATGATCTGCTCTAATGTTGATTACAGCAGCTTTCAAACATGTATTTGCCCATTTTTCAAAATGCTGAGTTTAAGGATAAATATTTCTGTCCTTAAAAAGTAAAAGATCCACTTCCTTCTCATTCTCCTGCTTATAGCCCTGCTGCATCACTCTTTCTCTTTTTCCTTTCTTCCTCTCGTGTTATTTTTGTCCTCAGGCGCGCCCTGAGGGCTGGCCGCTGGTCTGAGTCTCCAAGTGAGAGAAACAGCTTCACACTCCTCTTTTGTGCAAAATAATGTCATTAACACAGCCGGGGCAGCTCCGTGTGGGTGTTCTTGTCACGCAGCAGATTTATTTAGACGGCAAAATCGCTGATCAGATTAGTCTTTTTTAAGTTTCTCACTTTTTAAAAAAACTGCTGAGGAACTTGATAACAAGAGTTCCTGCCTGGGGAGCAGAGATGGACAGAAAACAGAGACAAATCTGTTTACTGCACAGGTTTTTGTTATGTGGTCTGACGTAGGATTCATTAACCCCACAATCTAATGTGGTGAACCCCCCCCCCCTTGAGGCACGTGCTGTAATCCCTGTGGGACTCCTCATTACTCAGCCGTCTCTGCTTCATACTCCCCGGGGCTGCAGTAATACTTAACTGTACTCCACAAGCACAATTGCCTTTCTCCCTGTATCTCTGCCCGCCTGAACACCTTCCTTCTTTCTCTTTGTCATTTTCACATGTCACACCTGTCGTCAGCATTCTTTACACATTCCCCCTGTTTTTCCGTGCTGCTCTTTAAGGTCTCAGATCTCGTTAGACCCATCACACTCAAAAGACCTGCGATCAGATTGACTTTCTGGTGCCTTAGTGTTGCCTGTGGGCATGTCAGACCCCTCACTGCCCCCCCCCCCTCACAAACTCCCTCTCCGGGGGGCGTTCGATCAGTCTTTCCGTGTTGGTGCATATTGTACGGCACTTGACAGTCTAAGCCCTCATAACACTGGTTACCTACCCCCTCCCACCCGTCACAAGCCCAGCTCCTCAGACTCTGGGCCCCCCCGGGCAGCTCCAGGCCCTCACCCTCACCCTCACACTGCCTCTCACACCTCATGACGAGCACATGATGTGAGAATGGCCATGGCTCAGGTATTAGCTGAGACAAAAACTGAAAAAAAAAAATGAGACAAAGGGATAAAGACAAGCTCGCTGTTCTGGTGAAACGTTTTCTATTTGAGGTTTTTCCTTTATATCTGGAAAAAAAATCACGCAGAGCTTACTTATCATTTTCTGGGTATCATGTTTCAGGGAGCAGGGGATGTCATAAGTGTTATAATATTGTTTTTCTGCCCTGTTGTCAAAAATGCAAAACTTGGAGCTGAAATACAAGTTAATTTGAAATATCTTTAAAATGGCTTATCTTGCTTCTTGATGTGTTTGATAATTCGACTATCATCATGAATCTTCCAGAATTGAGCCTCACCAAAATTCCCAATACTGATATAGACCAATATTTAGATATAGAGATGGATATGTACTGTATGTCTCACAATTTTAAAGAAAGTTAAAACAGGCTAAAACAGCAGAGGTAATAAAGTGTGGTTGGCATGATATGGGATTTTTCGACACCTCAATGTTGTACAATCCAAACACTTCCCCAAACACACATACAGAAAAAAATACATGCAAGTGAAGCTACTGCAGATATTTCTAACAGCACTGTGTTCACTGCTGTGATGAGGATGGTGATGACATTTCAAAATTGACTCTTTCATATATGCATGATTTTATAATGGCAGTTCTACATGTGTGCTGTATGCAAATGTATGCACATTATAATAATTGCTTATTCTCACAGGAATTAATTTTTTGAAGTTCCCATTATCCATCCTTAAAATCTCTATTAACCTTTCTCCTCCCTCATTTCAATCTCTTAACCTCTGCCTTTCTTCATATTTCTTCTCCGTCCTCCTGTGTCATCCACTTGTTCCTGTTCTCTCTCAAAGAACTCCTGAAACACATCTTTGTATTGTAGCTTTGTTCATTTCACAACAGTTCCCATTCCAATGTACAGTAACCTCTTATTTTATATTTGTTTTTTGAAAAGCTAATTGCTAAATAGGGAGATACAGCTTCCAATGGGACCTTCTCTTCTCTCTGACTCTCAACAGGCAGCAACGACAACTAAAGCCAGATAAAGATGATGATGATGAGTAGAAATGAGCTGAAGTCCCTCTGTAATCTTTTGTCTTTCTTTCTTTGTCTCTCGTTCTCCTGCTGTTTCCACAGAGACCTTTGAGCTTCTGATGAGGCAGGCGGAGAATCACACCAATGCCGTCCTTCAGGGGTTACACCACAGCATGGCCGATCAGGCTGCGGGCCCTGTGCGAGAACTCTTCACCGACATCAGTCTCTTCCTGCTGGGGTCCGAGCTCAGCGTTGATGAGTTGGTGCAGAGATTCTTTGACGCTCTCTTCCCGGTTGTCTACAATCACCTCATCTACCCAGGTCCTGGCGAAATATCACCAGGCTACGCTGAGTGCGTGAGGTCATCAAGACGCAACGTGAGACCATTTGGTGGGACGCCCGAGCTCCTGGCATTTCAGATCACTCGCTCTGGGGTCTTTGGGAAGCTTCTGCTTCAGGCGCTGCACCTTGGCATTGAGGTCATCAACACCACAGACCACTTGCAGCTGAGCCGTGAGTGCAGACGAGCCCTGCTGAAGATGCACTACTGTCCTCACTGCCAGGTATGACTGCTCGTCTCTGAGCTGAGTTTATCTGAATGAATGAAAGTCTATCCCAGAATCCCTGATCCCAATGTGATAATGTTCCACAGGGCTTAACCCAGTCCAAGCCCTGCATGGGGTACTGCCTCAACGTGATGCGGGGCTGTTTGGCGAGCATGGCCGAGATCGACGCCCACTGGAGGGAGTTCGTCCGCTCACTGGAGGGCCTTTCGGCGCGAATGCAAGGACCTCAGGATTTAGAGCAAGTGCTTCTGGGAGTTCATGCGTTGCTTCGTGATGCTGTCAGGCATGCTCAGAAAAGTGGTCCCCGCTTCTCGGCACAGGTCAGATGATATTTGAGCGGACTTGAAACTAAAGTGGCGATCAATCTTATGGATAAATAGAATAATGGATGAGGGATAGCATTTCATTTAAGCCCTGGAGTAATTTTTTTTATGGAACCATGCTCCTATTGCAAACAGTACACACCAGAGCAGGCTTAAACTCTCCATTAAGACGTCCATGTGGGCAGCTCTGAGGCAGTCAGGAACTTAGTATTTAAACCTCCAGACAGAGGAGGATAAATCCAGTGTCAACAGCTTATTCATCAGGCTTAGACGTTTACTCAAACCCAGACATACATATCCAAAATCATCACCCTTATAGGCTGAACCATAAAGTCTTTATAAATCCGTGCAGATCTTATAGTTTGTGAAATGAATACTTCTGGATTTGCACCTGAACTGCTCCAGCTTCATTGTACTTATTGAGACACCACAGCTCCATCTAGTGGTAGTCTAGTGTGACTGCTGCCTGCTAGGTTGCACATTCAGAAATACAGGATGATAGTCATGGCTGCACTAATGGCCATAAACATCTGTCTTTCCCTCAGCTAAAATAAGGCCCATTTGTTCCGCACCAGCATGGTTTGATGAGATTTGCAAAGTTTCAAAATGCACGTTTCCTCCCTGCAGTGTTCCGAGCTAAATTTGTGTCCGTCTCTCTGGGTAATAGGTGCACAAAGTGTGTGGCACGCCGAGCAGGAAGCCCACCCAGTCAGGCAGCATCCAGCTCAGCAGCAGCAGCAGCAGCAGCAAAGACTCTATCCCCCTTAAAGCTCCTGTTAGAGTGTTTGGAGACTCGCTCGCTGTCAGGAGAAGGTAAGAAGTAATGGAGGAAGTACTCAAAACATTTTTCAAAAGTACAAATGAATGGACAAAAATCCACTCTAGAAAAAGTACCACACTAACAACATGTAAATATTTTACACAATTCATTACAAAACACATATTGGAGTAGAAATGTATTGGCTGATATATGTAGTGGCGTAAAAGTGAAAAGTATTTCAA